TGCCATTGATGTGGTCAGGGCAGGGCTGAGCCCAGCCCAACTGGCGGAGGGACCAGCCAGGCCAGGGCCACACCAGCAGGACAGCTGGGACCAAGGGGAGCACGTCCCAAATGCTGCACCCAGGGGCATTTGCCCACCATGGTTTACTCAGCTGTGGGTACTGCGACCTGCACTCTGCCAGCCCTGATGGATGCCTTTGGAGCCTGGCTTCAGGCAGATGTCACTTTGAGCAGGTGCTGCATGTCCCCAGTATCAGGCCCTGGACTACAGCTTGCAGAGCTGGGCTTTCACTTGTACCAATAAAACTTCCTCCCACATCAGATTTTTGTCCTGCATTAAAACACTGAGGGACTGAGGAATGAACCCTCCAGGGATCATCCTGCAGGCAAACACCCAGGGAAAGGGGGATTTGGTGACCTGATCAGCAGGTCACCCTGGGAGCATCCTAAAGGTCACAGGTGAGCCCTGTGCTGTGCTCATGGCACCAGGGCAGCAGTGAGGATCTGCCCTGCCCCACCCATGAGMAGCAACAGTGATCACAGTGAGCAGTTCGTGTCCTCCGAGTCCAGCTGCCCTGGTGATTTAGACCCCAGCCTAAGGGGAAGGTTGGTGCTGGGGTTCAGCTCTGTCACCCCAGGGAGGAGCTGGCAGTGTGGGGAGGAAGGAAGCACTGTCACCCTGCATTGCCCCAWGCCACAGAGGTGGCCCTGGCCCTGGGGCAGTGCCTGGCAGTGCAGCTGSTGCATCCTACTGCTGTCAGACCGGGCAGGAACGTTTGAGGTGCAGGACCCTGGTGAGTGCCCATTCTGCTCTCAGATGGTGGGAGTGGGCCTTGCAGAGGATCTCAGTGAGACCCCTGGTTTGCCAGGCCATGGTGATGGCCTTTGCTGAGCCCCCAGGATGCTGCAGGGTGCAGGCACCATCAGAGGACACGAGTTGCTGTCATGGCCATACATCTCTCCAGCCCCAAATCTGCTTTGCCAGCTCACACACAGCAGGCTGTCAGGCACCATCTCCCCTTGGTTTTTGTTGGGTTTTTTGCAGTCTAGTTTGAAGGTTTCTGCTCCTTTTCCAGGGCTCCTGCCCACTAATGCCAACATGTACCTGTTTGCTCTTTTCCTGCCCTTTGCCCTGGAATGCTGCTTGGGCATTCTCCTTCTGCTGGAGGAAGCTACAGCCCCACTTGGGCTCAAACCTGCAGGAGGGGGAACAACTGGAAAACCCAAACCCTTACCCCAAATCCTTCTGCTGGACCAGCAGTGCTTCCAGCTTCCACAGCCTGTCCCCTGCACCCATAGCCACATGTGCAGGAATGCAGGGGGCTCTGATCCCCCTGTGCCCATCCTGCTGCCATCCCCGAGGCTTTGTGGCATTTCTGCCTCCAGAGCGGGCAGGTGCTGACAAGTGAGTYTGCAGTGTGGCAAACCCGGGCCCCTGAGCCCAGCACGTCTCCACTGCTGGAGCAAAGAACCCTCAAAAGGTCACCCAAGGCTGATTCCAAGTGGTTGGAGAACTGGAAAGGCGGCTTGTTCTAAAACTCGACCATACATTTTCCTGCTGTCAGGAAACCCCCTTTTTTCCATGTCTAAGATGAATGGTGAGGCTGAACCCCAAAAGACTTTGTTGTTGTTTTCATTGCTGCTCCACCCTTCTCCTGGTTAAATTTTGCTTCCATGAAATGGCCACAGGCGGGAGGTTTTGCAGGATGGGTGAGTGGCAGAGCACTCCCTGCCTCTCCTGGTACACTCACCCGGCRTGGCTGAGGTCCCATGGACCTGGAGGAGATGATGGGATGGGCTGAGGCATCMCCCTCCATGCCCAGCACAGTGTCTGGGGAGGGGGRAAATCACATGCAGAAGCTTTCTGTTCCTGGTCCGCTCCAAAGAAGGAACCCAGTGGATTTCCAGCCAACAATAACAGAAATGAAATAATTCTCCCTGCTCCCAGGGAGCGCTTTCGCAGAAGGGTGAAAGGTCGAGCAAAACTCTGGGGTTGCTGCCTTGTTTTACACGGTACTCAGGATCTGGATGGAGCCAGGATTCTGCCTTCACTGTAGTTTTACCCCAAAGCCACCAGYTCCCATGTCCCCAGGTCCTGAGGAAGACTGGGGAGCTGCACAGGGAGCTCACCCCATTCCTCGTGAACCACCACAGCCAATGGCTCCTGCAGAGCATGCACAGCTGGATTTAAGATGTTTGATCCCTGTGAAAAGTTCTGCATGTCCTGGAACCCGTGGGAGCAGAGGGGAGAGCTGGCCARTGGAGTTACTGGAGTTGCCATCATACCCATTGGATGGCCGACACAGAGAGGATTTGGGATTTTCTGCAGGTCACCCTTCCTGTGCTGCACAGGGCAAGCCACAGAGAGGCAGCTGGGGAAGGAAAAGGGCTGGCTGAGCCCAGCAGTGATGGGAATGAGCTGGAGGAGGCTCGTGTGGCACTGGTGCAGGAAGGACAGTGAATAAGGAGAAGCCTGTGGGGTGGGATGTTCCCTGAGCACCCAGAGCAGGGCCAGCGATGGCACCACAGAGCTGCTTCCCAATCTGACAGGGTGCTTGGAGTCCCTGTGAGTTCAGTTCCTTCCCCTCACACCACAGAAGATGTCGGACACTCTTCCCCTRCCCTGTCCTCCCCATGGGCAAACCCCACGTTGTAACACATGGGGGGATGCAAAAAGCCACTGATAAGGTCCAAGATCTTTCTTTATCCCACAATAAAGACAACTATGAAATAATGTACATAAACAGCTGGCTTTGTATCCCCCCTCTCTGAACAGCTTCTGTAATGGCAATGCAGACAGAGATGTGCAGATGAATAAGGAACTGAGCAATAGGAAGTCTCGGGTGAAGGCCCTGGGCACTGGATCACTCAGAACTTGCTGATATTCCGGCAAGAGCCCAGAGTGCTGAACCCTGACAGTGTGGCATGGCAGTGGTGATGCCTGCTGGCCTTGCTRTGTCCTGGCTGTTCTTTTTTGGGGCGATCAGGCATGGATATAGGCTGGTGCAGGAGCTGATCTGAGGAGCAGGAGGAGCTGGAGGGGAAAGGCAGGGTGGTTCTTACCTCCTCCTGAGCWGACTTTCTGGAATTATTTCATCCAGAGGATAAAAATTAAAAATAAAATAGGAGAAAAAGCCACAGGAGCTCGAGCTCATGCCCTGCAGAGGCTGAGGAGTGACACAGTGGCTGCTCTGTCACTCCTGACCTGTTGCTCACAGGGAAGAGCTCTGAGCACTGAACTCACCCACTCACTTTGCATCAGCCCAGCTGAAACCCAGGATGCCGGAGCCCAAGTCCAGCCTAAAAGCAAAGCCTAGACCCAAAGCTCAGCAGAGATGGGAGATTATTCACTCCAGGAGGCAGCTGGGATGTGCTGCTCCTGCACTTTGGGCAGACTCAGAACCAACTACCCTGCCAAGGTATTTTTCTCCCTTACCCTCTCTAGGTTTCACTGGAATTATTTATCTGCCTTCAATTCCTTCTTTCTTTAAACAACAATATCAAAATGGGTGCCTGCACCCTGACTGAGACATACTCATGTCACTAAACTCCTGTTTCTCCACTACAATCCTGTGAGGTGGAGGTTGTTTAATTGCTGAAGAACACGACTGTATTTTGATTAGTGGCTTGAGTCATTTGTGGGGAAGGGCTGACGCGGAGCAGCTAAAATCCTTGTAGGGAAATCTGATGTGGCGCTCTCCCTTGGGAGATACTCTGAAATATGTGCCCACTGGGGCGACCCGTTTTCCCAAAGAAAACGACGAGCACCGGGCCAGCAAACGCCAGGGTTCCGCTCATCCAGCGTGACACGGGACGAGCGTCTCCATCGACGGGGACGGAGAAGCATCCAGAGGGGAATGAACTCCCCTCGCAGCAGGGGAATCCCTCCCACTCGCTTAACACTTTTTGTTTAGTTTCTTAAATAAGGCCATGGATCYGTGCCAGAGCAGCCTCTCGAAAGCAGCGGGGAGAGGGAGCTTCCCGRGGGAACCTGTCGGTGCCCGGGGACGCGCAGTGACCCGAGCACGGCGCGGTGGCCGCGCTGGCCCTGTCCATCCCTCGGCCACGGAGCGGCAGCGCCAAGCGGCGGCATCCCGCGACGCCGCSCACGTGACGGGCTCGTGTTGGGTGACCGTCGCATGTCACGTCCCTTCGGGGGACAGCCGCGTCCCCGACACCGCCGTGGCAGGTCCCTCTGGCCAGCCCTTGGCGCGCCGCTGCCGGAGAAGCCCGCGGGGACCGGCGCTCGCTGCTGCCCTGACCTCAGCCAACCTTCCCGAGCCCCGGTGCTCCCCGAGCCCCTCCGGCCGGGTCAGGGCTGCCCATCGAGGCTCAGCACCCTGTGAGCCCGGGGAGCTGCACGGGCGGGGAGCGCTGCCCGGCCGAGCCGCTGCGTGGATGCTCCGGCGCCGCCCTGGCACCCACCTGTGGGTGCGGAAGAGCCGGGGAGGCCTCCGGGGGGAATCCTCCCCGCAACCCCCGCCCCGGGCTGGGCAAACCCCGGTGCAGCCGGCCCTGCGGCTGGAGGGTGCCCCCCTCCTTCCCCCTCTCCATCCTCCTCCTCCTCCKCCTGGCAGGAGCCCTGCCCTCCCCCGGGGGGATGCGGCGGGGAGTTCCCCCTCCCCGCTCGCTGCTCGGGGTCCCCCCGCCCCGCCGGCCGGTCCCCACGGAGCATCCCCCCGCCCCAGCGCTCGCACATGGGGCCGCTGACAGGCAGCAGCCGGACACACGGACGCGCGGACACACAGACAGACACGGGCAGGGCTCTCCATCCTCCGCGGGGCTCGGCGCGTTTGGGGGGAGCCGCGCAGGAGGGACGATGCCCGGGGCGGGGGTCCGTGCGGGGGGAGCGTGCAAAGGGGCTGGGAGAGGGAGCCGGGGTGGGCGAAGCGGGGTCCGCCGGGGGAGCGAGGCTGGGCTGGGCACCGGGCGAGCGAGGGGGCGATGGGGGCGCGTCCCCCCCACCCGCCGCACCCCCGGGCCGGGGAGCGGGGTACTCACGGGCCGGGCATCCGCGCCGCCGCCGCCGCCCCCGGCCGCCGCCGCTGCGCTGCCGCCGGGCTGGGCACCGGAGGGAGAGGGAGCGGCAGCGGGAGCCGAGCGGCGGCGGCGGCACTGCGCACGCTCCGGCCCGGCCCCGCCGGCCACTTCCGAAAGCGATTGCAGCCCTGGCACTTCCTCACGGCACACACACGCACACAGACAGACGGACAGACAGACAGATAGACAGACAGACAGACAGACACCCGCAGCACCCGCAGCCCCTGCCCCCGGCACCAGCACCGCGCACCCGCTGCTGTGCCCGGTGTGCTGCGGCATCACAGAACCGGTACCGGTACCCAGTACCAGCTCCCTGCACCCCGCACCAGAACCCAGCGTCAAATATCGGCACACAGGACCAGCACCACGCGCCCAGCATCGATAACCGGTACCGGCACCATGCACCCCGGACTGGCACCCAGTACCAGCACCACGCACCCAGAACTGGCACCCAGTACCAGCACCACGCACCCAGTACCAGCACCACACATCCAAAACTGGCACCAGCACCCAGAACTGGCACCCAGTACCAGCACCACGCACCCAATACTCACACCCAACACCAACACCAAGCACCATCATACACCCAATACTGGCACCCTGCACCAGCACTGGGGGTCTTCTCTGCCCCTCTGGGATGTTCTCCCATCCCTGGGGTGAGAGGAAGGGCTGCCTGTGGAGGTCTCCCCCAGACTGCTTCTCACTTGAGGCTTCCTTCCCTGGGAGTAACTTTCCCGATGTCAGTGTTTTTTTTTCTCAAAAGCGGGGATTATACATCACTAAAAATAAAGGGTGATAAAACTTTGGGAGAGAAAGGAGGCATGAAAATTTCACGATCTTACCAGCCAGGGAAATTATCCCACTTTATTATTTAAAACCTCATTAAAAACCATTTCTCTGGGAGAGACAATGATCAAGCCGCCATCTATTTCAATCCTCGAGACGTGCACTYTGCGACGTGGGGGACGTGTTTAAAATAGGCCCCAAATGTGACTCCCCCAGTGAAAGCACCACCCCGACCCCCACCCATGTGAGCAGAGACCCTGAGCTGAGTCCCTCTGCCTCTGCATGGGGGGATCAGATAGACCCGATGTTCCTCCCACATTTTCAACCTGCCCTGTCCAATACTCTGAATTTTCYTTTGTCCACCCATCCAGCTCACGACAGTGGGATCCATGCATCTCTCACCCAGGGAGGACCTGCCCCAGGACATTTTTGGACAAAGCAGCGTCCCTCCTCTGACTGTAACTTTTGCAAATCTTCAGAGCARCTCCAGTGTGAGTTGTGACTGCCAGTCTGCTCCCTCCTGCTGTGTGACCGGGCCACCAGCCCTCACGATTTGCTTTAGCAATTCATTTAACTGGAAGCTCACAAATGCCCCTAAAGGCTCCCACRTCTCCAGGAACTGCTTTGTAGTGTGCGTTTGGGATTTTTTAGAAAATCCCACGAATATTTACCCCATTCCTGGAATTGCTCAAGGCCAGATTGGATGGGGCTTGGAGCAACCCRGTCTAGTGGAAGGTGTCCCTACCCRTGGCAGGGAACAAGCTGGAACAAGATGAGCTTTAAGGTCCCTTCCAACCCACACCATTCCAGGATTCTMTGATTTGGGCTTGTGATTTGTTGTGATTCTCCACACAGTCTGACCCTTCAGATGAYGAAGAGAAGTCACTTTTTTAAAAAGAAATATTGAGAGGAAATGCTTGGAGATTCCAAACRCTCTGCACAATGGGGCTGTCAGTGAATAGCCAGACTCGCGGCACTGGGTGCTCAGGGTGCAGCAGCTCGGCCTCGCATCTTTTCTAGAAATTGTGAATGCTGCGATCAACAGCCAGGAACACTGCTCCGGGTCTGGAAAGCTGTTTTCCCCCCGTGCCAGKCTGGAACGCTGCCGGGGAAGGACTGGCAGCATCCTGCTGCGCACAGAGGCACCGGCAGAGAGAGCGGCAGCCTCGGGCGAGCCGTGTCTGTGCTGACCGGTGACAGCCGGGTGTGGAGGGCCTCCCGGAGCCCCCCGTGCCGGTGTTCCCCGCTGTCCCGGCGGTGCCAGCCCCTCGCCCGCCGCTGCAGTAGCGGGACCGGCCCGCAGGTGCCGCCCGACTCCGCCGGGAGCGCGCCCGGAGATCGGGGGTGCCGGCAGATCGGGGGACAGGGAGGCTCGGGGGACCCGGCAGATCGGGGGTGCCGGCAGATCGGGAGGGCCGGCAGATCGGGGGCCCGGCAGATCGGGGACCCGGCAGATCGGGGGACCCGGCAGATCGGGGGTGCCGGCAGATCGGGAGGGCCGGCAGATCGGGGGGCCGGCAGATCGGGGGGCACCGGCAGATCGGGGAGCCCGGCAGATCGGGGGCCCGGCAGATCGGGGACCCGGCAGATCGGGGGACCCGGCAGATCGGGGGTGCCGGCAGATCGGGAGGGCCGGCAGATCGGGGGCCCGGCAGATCGGGGACCCGGCAGATCGGGGGACCCGGCAGATCGGGGGTGCCGGCAGATCGGGAGGGCCGGCAGATCGGGGGGCCGGCAGATCGGGGGGCACCGGCAGATCGGGGAGCCCGGCAGATCGGGGGCCCGGCAGATCGGGGGCACCGGCAGATCGGGAGGCACCGGCGGTTCGGGCACCCCGGCGGCTTGGGGGGGTCCCGGCGGTTCAGGGATCCCCGGGGGCTCGGGGGGCTCTGGCGGCTCTCTGCCCCCGCCGGTCGCCGGGAGAAGGAGCTTGTGCGGRGCGGGGAGCGCACCCACTGCAGTGCGGGGCAGCTCCATCCCAGGAACACCCAACGGACACAGCCATTCCTCGGGTACCCGATGGACGCATCCGAAGGGAGTCCTGACAGCAAGAGCTGGGCGCTCCGTTGGTGCTTTCTCTGATTTTCTGCGGGTGTTGTCGTGTGGGCTTAGACCTGGGCTGCAGGGCCAGAGCAGCCACTGCCCTCCCTGTGCTGGGCACTGCTGGGGTCACACCTCAAATCTGTCTCTCGGGTTTGGGCTCCTGATGACAAGAATGACATCGAGGTGCTGGAGGTGTCCAGAGAAGGGAACAGAGCTGGGGAAGGGTCTGGAACACAAGGAGCTGTTGAGGAAGCTGGGAGGGCTCAGCCTGGAAAAAAAGGAGGCTCAGGGAGGACCTTTTCTTTCTCTAATCTACCTGAGGGGAAATCGTGGCCGAATGGGGGTTGATCTCTTCTCCCAGGTGGCAAGCAACAAAACCAGAGGAAATAGCCTGAAGTTGCATCATGGGAGGTTTAGGTTAGATAACAGGAGAATTTCTTCACAGAAAGGGTTGTCCAGCATTGGAACAGGCTGCCCAGGGCAGTGGTGGAGTCATTGTCCCTGGAGGGATTTAAAAGCCACGTGGATGTGACACTTGGGGACATKGCTTAGTGGTGGGCTTGGCAGTGCTCATTTAATGGTTGGACTCGATCTTAGAGGGCTTTTCCAACCCAAACAATTCTGTTTCATTCTGATTCCGTGATTTTAAGGTGAACTCTGCCATGGGCTGCAGGGAGCTGTGAGTGCAGCACAACAGTCCAGGCAGGATGCTTAGGAGCAGGAAGCTTCTTTTGATGAATATCTGWGACAAGCCAGCCTGTGTCAGGACTGAGATACAGCAAGCTTCCCTACGGGTCTGCAAAGCACAATTTGATGTAGAAATCCTGTCAACAGTTGCTCAATCCCATCTTCAAAGTGCTCTGCAGTATCAGCCTGCAGCAGCAGAATGGGCTGATCCCTTCCAGGGTGTTTCCAGCTCGTGTGCTCCTCGAGAGGTTGGCAGGTGGTGAAATCGGGTGGATGAAGGCTCCAGAGATGTTTTGTTTCAGGAAAGACATTGCCCCACCAACTACCTGGGTTTTCTAAAGCTTTCCAAGCAGCAGAGTGTATCCAGACTGGGGTGACCCACAGAGATCTGCTGGCACTGGGCTCTAAGGAAGCGACAGTCCTTGAGCTACCACAGCCCAAGTGAGAGGGAGAGGAAAAGCAGCTCTGTGCTGTCACCCTGCAGGAAGGGCTTGTCAGAGCTGAGATTGTAAAGGTCATGCTCCCCCTGTCCCTGAATCTGCAGCTCCTCTGCTGAGGGCAGCTGAGGACACGCTGAGGTGATGCTGTGTGTACACAGAGCTGGCACGTGAGGGTGCAGGAAACAGAGCTGCTCTGGAGGCCAGCCCTGCTCCAGGGCATAAATGTGCCCTGTGTACCTCAGTGGCAACGCTGCCTTTGCAGAATACCTGGTCTGAGCTGTGTGCAGCTGATTTATTCCCTTGTGAGAAATACCTGTGCACCCTTTGTAGCCTTTTTACTTTTTTGATGTCTCAAAGCTTCCTGGRGAATGTCAGAGCTGCATTTCCAATCCCGATCTCTGCCTTAGCTATCAGGTGTGCTACAACTCTGCATATCTCCATGGCTCCCCAGGAGTGCTCACAGGCTGACTCAAGTGCCATTCTTGTTGGGGCCACGTTTATTTCCACAGGGACCTGAAGTGCAAAGGTTGTCTCTCCTTTACTCAAACTTGAAGATAGAGCAAGAACTTGAGGTTCTGGAGTGTGTCTGGAGGTTGTGGAGCAAAGTTTAAAAGAGGATTTTGCACTACCATGCTCAGCACAGCTTTAAATTCTATCACATTTAGAGGCAAAAGGGTCGATTATTTTGACTTCCTAATGTAACAGAGCTTGTGCAATCACAGTGTGTATCAGCCCACTGATGTTCTCCCAAATTGTTCTCTTTAAAAACTTTTTAACCCTTTGGTCATTTCTATCAAAAAGAGAGAGAGTGGCCAGAGCTCAGTTGCTGCCATTACAAACAGCTGGGCAAGGAATGACCCTGCCAGCAAAACCAACACATGCTGTCAGAGCTTGTTAGACACTGGAGAATCCACAYGGAGCTGACGTTTGATCGATGCCCAAACCGTGGGAAAAGCTCCAGTCAGGGTTTGTGCCCTCGCAGGCACCCAGGTCGGGCCCCCAGGAGACGCCAGCCCTGCTGAAAGCCAGAGTCTGCAGATCCTGCAGCTCCCACAGATGTTTGTTTGCTTTCTGGTGCCCAGCTGG